CGCTGCATCTCCCCCTCCGAGCCGCCCGGGGCCGGCCGTGCGCTTCGGTCCCCTCCGGGGGGGGGCACGAGCGCGTGAGCGCGGGGCCGCGGCCGCGCGTGCTCGGCGGCGGGGGCGCGCGCTCCCGGCGCAGACGGACAGGAGGGGAGGGGAGCGAAGCGCACGGCCGGCCCCGGGCGGCTCGGAGGGGGAGATGCAGCGCGGATCCCCCGGCGCACCTGCAGCCTCGGTCCGGGGATGGGGGTAGGGGGGTGTCAGGCTCCAGGCCAGCGCGGCAGAGGCCGCTTACTCTCCACCTTGCCGCCTAGAACCTCGGGGCTCGCGGTAGGCGTGTCTTTAGGGAGAAGCTCGCGTCTGGTCTCCAGGGCCCCGGAGGTGGTCGGCCCCGCCTCTTCGCACTTAGGGTCAGGATGCAATGTTTCCTTTCCAAAGGAGTGTGTTTGATCACTTGAAACGGTGATTTACGGGCAAATGTTAAGGAAACAACCATGTGGCACAGAGCTGGGCAGCGGTCCCCCGAGGGAGGTTCCTGCCGATCTGTACTAGACCCCACGGCCCCCGTCCCAGTGAGGTCTGCAGCTCCCTCCCGGCGCCCACCTTAGCGCCAGTGTGGGCGTCAGCAGCCCCTCTGGCAGGCAGGGGCCCAGAACCACAGGTCCCTCTGTGCCCCTCCAGACCCCAGGTGAAGGTCGTCGGCCTCGGTGCACAAAGAAAACAGGCAGAGGGACGCGGTGGGGGCAGGGTCGGGGGCGGTGTCCTGAAATTCTCTCAAAGGTCACATGTGACCTCACTGTTATCTCCTCGCCTGATTTAGGCAGGCAGCCTGGGCAGGGGCCGCAGGGTTATGAGGTCCGATCCCTGCCACCAAGGCCAGCCCAAGGCCAGCCTCCATGCTGCATCTGACTGGACAGGGGCTCTGGTGGGCCAAAAGAGCCCCTCCCTGAAATGTCTCCACCTGCCACGAATCTCACCCCAGAACCTCCAGAGACCCCTGCCCTCCCTTCCTAAGACGGAGGAACGGCTCCTTCCTGCATTAGGTCCCCACCCCAGGTACTCCCTTTCTTACACCAGCACCCAGGCCCCATCCCCCACCCCAGCATGCACACACGCGCATCTGCCCTGGCCTCCGCTGCTCTGCGCCGAGTCCTCTGTGCCACACAGCCTGCGCTCTGTCCCCCATCTAGGGAGACCCCCCAAGGGCGATGAGGCTCCCGCCTGGCAGGCCACCCAAGGAATTCTCTCTCTGCCCCCTTGCCAGTAGCTGGGACAGGAGACAAAGTTTCTATGACCCCCTCAATAGCTACCCTCCTGTCTGCACCCTGAGGTGAACCTCATCTGCCCCAGGGAGGGGTCCGAAGCCCGGAACTGCTCTAGCTTGTCCCCCCAGCCCCAAACACGGCTTCTGGTCTGGGCAAACAGCTCCCCACCAGGGGCCAAGCGGGTCCTGGGCTGGACTCTGGGGGGGTAGGTGGAGGGAAGACCCTCAGCTCTGTCCCAGGTAGACGGGAAAGCCCCCTGGGACGGGCCCTTCCCACGTAGCCCTTCAGCATGGCGGGAGGGGGGCTCCCCTTCACTGGGTGTAAAGGCGGGGAACCTGAGACTCGGAATCGCGTTAAAAACAGCTGTCCACCCTTTGTGGGGCACGAGAGTAATCATTTAAAGGGATCGCCCTCACTCCAGCGCTCCCAGGCAGACCCCACCTGCCTCAGAGAGACTGGAGACGCGGCAAGGCCGGGCACCTGCCAGTCACCGGGGGTTGGACCCGCACCCCACGGCAAGAAGGGCAAACCCGGCTGGCAGTGTGTCCCGATGCCTGGCGGCCCCGCCCCCACCCCGCCCACAGCAGTCCACGCGCATGTGCACACACATACTCAGCAACAGCCCCGCGCCTGCTTTCCACACGAGGCCGCAGAACAGAGGCTGGGACACGGCTGCCCCGTGCCCGGCTGGCTCAGGTACACTTGGCCTGTGCTCCAGAGCAGACCAGAACCGTCTCATGGCAGAATAGGGAGGATGTGCAGGGATGGGATGAGGCGACCAGCCCCGACCCGGGTACCCCTCTCATCCTTGCCCGCCCTTGGTCAGTCGTGCGACCACGGCAACGGGCCCCAGAGCTGCAGGCTCACATCCCAGGGCTGGCTGTGCTCGCGCGCCTCCCGCCCCCCAAAGGACCCCAGGACCCACGCGCCCTGCGCCAGCTCTTTGCTGCCCTCACCCACGCTGCCCCGTACCTGGAGCCCCGTGGGGGGATGGGAGCTTACCAGAGGTGCACACACTCGCACTTACTTGTGAGCTGGGATTACAGCACAACTCCCCGGGTTAGCCACTCAGGTAACGCTCATCTGGGGGAAACCCATGACTCAGCAATCTCTGGGGTAAATAATTGAACCGCAAACCCAGTTTGGCCAAGCAGTCACATGGTAACCACAGAGCGCTGCCCGCGGTGGGCGCCAGACCCGCCGCGGCCTGGCTCCTGGCTCCGGCTCTGCGTCAGAACCCGCCGTCCACACGTCCCCACCGGCTAACAAGCCAGAGAGCTCTGGACGTGCAGGCGGCCGGCAGAGTCGGGCCTTGGAGCGCTGACAAGCCAGGGGCCTCACTACCCTCCCGCCCACCCAGCCTGTGAGGGGCTCCCCAGGTAAGAATCATCCCGGGGCCCCGCCGCAGGGCCGTGGAGCCCTCAAAGCCACAGCAGAGGCCAGCTCCCTGGGTGAAGGGGAGGGGCAGGATGATTCTCGGGCTTCCTTTCCGGCCCCTCAGGCACAAGGCAGATGCCATTTCAACAGTCCTCATGCCACACACCCAGACCCTGGGGGGCTTGGGGGGACCCTTGTGTGGTGAGGTCTCCACAGGAAGGAAACACAACCCATGACGTCCCCCTAGTGCTCACGGGGGGCTGTGCCTGCCAGGCCGTCCTCCATACCCCAGGGAAACTGCAGGCCGCGTGTCCTGGGCCAGCGAGTGAGAAGTCAAGGACGGGGCTGGGCCCCAGCAGGTGAGGTGCCCTTGGGACACAAGGGACAGTCCCAGACTTGCGCTCCATGGCGCACCTGTGTGGTCTGAGACCCAACCCAGGAGTGTGTCCCACAGTCCCAGGTGACGGGGCAGGTGACAGACGCCAGCCACCCCCACTTCCCTCCCGGCTGGCCTCGTCTAAGATCAGCCTCCCAAAGCGCGTCCCAGGAGTTCTGCCACGAGGACCGGGGGGTATGGCGAGTGCTGCTGTGTGAGCAGCCCCTCCGGGAGCAAAGATCTGGGGTCTCCCTATCTTCAAGGTTCAACAGGGGGCACCCAGGAGGCGCTCTTCCTCCAAGCCCCAGGGCCCATGGTGCAGCGGTGATGGGAGGGCCGCCGGAGAGACCCCGGTGGCTTGGGTGGCGGAGAGGGGGGGCCTCTGGCGTGGACGTGGGCACGGGGAGGTGGGCCGGGAGCAGCGGAGCTGGGTCTGGCCACATGGGAGTCTGGGTCTCTGTGCCGCCCGCTGACCCCAGCAGGGATGCCCACCTCTGTTTCAGGTCTCCCCAGGATGGACGTGTCCCCCGACTGCACGCAGCAGGGCGGGGGGCTGGTGCTGGTCCGCCGGCGGCCCCCAGTGTCCCCGGGCCTGCGCGAGATGCTTAAAGCCAGGCTGTGGCGGGGCTGCTCCTGCAGCACGCGCGGGGCCTGGGCGCTGGTGCAGGACCTGCTCCCCGCCACGCGCTGGCTGCGCCACTACCGCCCGCGGGAGGCCCTGGCGGGCGACGTCATGTCCGGGCTGGTCATCGGCATCATCCTGGTGCCGCAGGCCATCGCCTACTCGCTCCTGGCAGGGCTGCAGCCCATCTACAGTCTGTACACGTCCTTCTTCGCGAACCTCATCTACTTTCTCATGGGCACCTCGCGCCACGTGTCCATGGGAATCTTCAGCCTGCTCTGCCTCATGGTGGGCCAGGTGGTGGAACGCGAGCTGCTGCTGGCTGGCTTTGACCCTGCCCGGGACGGCCCGGGGTCCGGGGACAACGGCACCACCCTCAACGCCTCGGCCACACTGGTGCTCAGGCCACGGGACTGCGGGCAGGACTGCTACGCCGTCCGCGTCGCCACCGCCCTCACGCTGGTGGCCGGGATTTATCAGGTGAGGGGCTGACCGCACCGGGGTTCTGCAGAGCCTGGGCGCAGGTCCGGACCGCCCGCTCAGCCACTCAGAGCAGGCCCCTCACTCGCTCGCCACCCCCAGGAGGGCCAAGGCCAGGGCGGTGCGGGGTCAAGGCCTCAGAGGGCAGCGGGTTTAGCCAGCAAGGGCGGGGTGGGCACAGGCGCAGGTGGGCATGGGGTGGCGGCCCGGACGGGGCACCCGAGGGTCTGAGGGTGCCCGGGAACAGGGACCCCGTCCAGGGATGGCTGGCCGGGTACGGCCTGGCCTGTCCGCCCTGATTTCACACCCTCCCAAGGGCCGCAGGTCTCTGGGGAGAGGGGACAGTGCCACCCGCAGGACAGGAGAAGGGAGCGGCTTTCCAGCGCCTGGAGCCCGCACATGTGAGAGAAGCAGAAGCGAGCGTGTAAGGGCCCACGTGCACCTCCGTGTCTGCCGTGCCTGTGTGTGCACGCGCGTGGGCAAGGGACTCCAGACAGAGTCCGTTCGGGAAGCAGCGGCAGCGGCAGCGGCAGCGGCGAGAAGGGGTGTGGGGCTCCGTGCCGCGGCCGCCCCGTCGGCGGCACCGCTGCCCTGACCGCGCTCTGTCCGCAGGTCCTCATGGGCGTCCTCCGGCTGGGCTTCGTGTCCACCTACCTCTCACAGCCCCTGCTCGACGGCTTTGCCATGGGGGCCTCGGTGACCATCCTGACCTCCCAGCTGAAGCACCTGCTGGGCGTGAGGGTCCCACGGCACCAAGGGCCGGGCATGGTGGTCAGCACGTGGCTGAGCCTGCTGCGCGGCGCCGGCCAGGCCAACCTGTGCGACGTGCTCACCAGCGCCACGTGCCTGGCCGTGCTGCTGGCCGCTAAGGAGCTGTCGGACCGCTGCCGCCACCGCCTGAAGGTGCCGCTGCCCACGGAGCTGCTGGTCATCGTGGCGGCCACGCTGGCGTCCCACTTCGGACGGCTCCACGAGCGCTTTGGCTCCAGCGTGGCCGGCGACATCCCCACCGGGTTCGTGGCCCCCCGGCTGCCCGACCCTGGGCTGATGCGGCGCGTGGTGCTGGACGCCGTGCCCCTGGCGCTGGTGAGCTCCGCCTTCTCCTTGTCCCTGGCGGAGATGTTCGCCCGGAGCCACGGCTACTCCGTGCGAGCCAACCAGGAGCTGCTGGCCGTGGGCTGCTGTAACGTGCTGCCTGCCTTCTTCCACTGCTTCGCCACCAGCGCCGCCCTGTCCAAGAGCCTGGTGAAGACGGCCACCGGCTGCCACACGCAGCTGTCCAGCGTGGTCAGCGCCGCCGTGGTGCTGCTGGTGCTGCTGGTGCTGGCGCCGCTGTTCCGGGACCTGCAGCGGAGCGTGCTGGCCTGCGTCATCATCGTCAGCCTGCGCGGGGCCCTGCGCAAAGCTCGGGACGTCCCGCAGCTGTGGCGGCTCAGCCCGGCCGATGCGCTGGTCTGGGTGGCCACCGCGGCCACCTGTGTGCTGGTCAGCGTCGAGGCGGGGCTGCTGGCGGGCGTCCTCCTGTCCCTGCTCAGCCTGGCTGGCCGCACGCAACGCCCACGGGCCACCCTGCTCGCTCAGATTGGGGACTCGGGCTTCTACGAGGACGCCGCGGAGTTTGAGGGCCTGGTCCCTGAGCCGGGCGTGCACGTGTTCCGCTTCGCGGGGCCGCTCTACTACGCCAACAAGGACTTCTTCCTGCGCTCGCTCTACAGACTCACGGGGCTGGATGCGGGGACGGCGGCCACCACGAGGAAGGAGCGGGGCCCGGAGGCCAGGGTCGGCGAGGGAGACCCCGTCGAGGGCACGGACCCGGGCCCAGCCAGCAGCACGGCCGCACGGCTGGTGCCCCCGGCGGCCGGCTTCCACGCGGTGGTCATCGACTGCGCTCCGCTGCTGTTCCTGGACGCGGCCGGCGTGGCCGCGCTGCAGGACCTGCGCCGAGATTACAGGGCCCTGGGCATCGCGCTGCTCCTGGCCTGCTGCAGTCCCCCCGTGAGGGACACCCTGAGGAGAGGCGGGTTCCTCGGGGACGACACGGAGGACGCCGCCGAGGAGGGGCAGCTGTTCCACAGCGTGCACAGCGCTGTGCAGGTGGCCCGAGCCCGCCACGGGGAGCAGACGGCCACCGACTCCACCCTCTAGCGCGGCCGGTGCCCGACGCCAGCCTGACCGCCCTTCCGGGAGCCCTGGGCAGACAGCCTCACGCCATCGGTCACTGACATCAATGAGCACAGTCGCCACTGCCCCGCCCCCCACCCCCCCCCCGCCGCCCCCGCCCCGAGACCGATGCTGTGCCCTGGAAGAACCAGGGAACACACAAAGGACTCGGACACTTGAACATCCAGGAACTACGCCTTTGAAACAAGCCACCACAGCCACCCCGGGCCCTGGTGCTGTGTGTACGCGATGCTGCAGGGTCAGTCTGACGCTGGCTGTCACCGTCTCGTTTGAACGAGGGCCCGAGGCAATCACGAGGCCCCCCCTTGGCCCGCCGGGCCCCAGTCCCACTGGCCACAGCGGGAGGGCCTGTGTCTCTGGGAGCCCTTCAAACACACACCCGAGTGCTCCTTACATCTCACGCCTCGGCCAGGCTGAGCTTCGCAAGGCCAAAGGTGGGGTGATCGACCCAAGTTCCGCTCAGCCCTTGGGCGGCGCTCCTGCAAAGCCTGACCTGAGGACACGGGGCACCAGGTGCGTGGGCGCACGCTCTCCGGGGCTGGCTCCAGCCACAAAGCTGGCACAGCGGGACACCCACCTGACCCCGAGCCTCCAAGTCCTGTCCGGTGGGAAGCCAGCTGTGCCCAAACTCGGGGCTGCCCCGGCATCCCCCACGGCCCCGCGCGGCCTCCTCCACGGAGGACGTTTTGCCAGGAGGTGTCAGGGCACCCCCTCCGCTCTGCCCCCCATCACAGCCCACACTGCACCACACTGTCCTCCCGGACGCTGCCTCCTCTCGGCCTTGGTCTTCGTCTCCAGTAAGGGGGCTCTGCCCAGCTGCCCCCATCACTCACCTGGCCGTGATGAGCTCCAGCAGCCAGTGGGTCCGGACCTGCTCGATGCCGCCGTGGGGGACAGCGCCCACGTAGGCCATGTTGAGCTGCTGGTCCCAGCTGAGGTCATACTGGTCAGCCTGGCTGTGAGGCAGTGGGGGACTGGGGACAGAACAAGGGGGAGTGGGCCATTAGTCCCCAGGGGCGGGGCACCAGAACAGCCCCTGCAGCTACAAACCCAGGGCCCCAGATTGCCCCGGGACACCAGTCCCCAGCAGCTGGACCCTGGAGTGCCCGCCGATGAATTTTACTGTCCCTGTTGTAATAAAATGGCCCCTAACACCAGGAATGCCACAGAGGCTCATGTTTATGGAAATGGGGGGGCTCCCTGAGGAGAGAGGACCACATCCCAATACCCTGTTCCTTGTCCCACCAGCCAGGTGATCTTGGTTATAAGAATGACACGGGGGGAGGGGAGATAGGCAGACACGGAGAGGGGGATGGGGGTTGATAGGCCCCCTACAGGCGTGTCCGACTCCACTGGGGCTGCCCCCTTGGGAGGGGCCTGCGCCGCAGCCCCTCCTGCAGCCTGGCCTGCCCCCCAGCGGCCACCGGGCAAAATCAGCGAGCGTCCGCAGGCCTCCACCACACGGGGTACCCGCTCAGAAAAGCCCGGGGCGCACGCAAACACCGCGTGGCTCAGGCCGACAGAGGAAACCACGGTCTGACTGCAGGACGGCTCCACGAGGAAGGAGGAGGCGGCCGTGGGCGCGGCAGCCCGAGTCCCTCCGATGCAACAAGGGGTCCAGGGAGATCGCGGGCGGGGAGCGCGTCCCGGGCCTGGGAGAGGCGCGCGCGGCGGGATGCAGGCGACAGCGGCCTCTCGGGCCTCAGTTTCCCCGCGCGGAGCGCTCACCAAAAGCCGGTGCTCCTCCAGAAGGGCCGCAGGGGCCGCAGCGCTCGGGCCGCGTCCACGAGCACCAGGTGCGGGGCCTCGGCCAGGGCCGGGGGCGCGGCCAGCAGCGCGACCAGGAGCGCGAGCGGCGCGGCGCGGG